TAAGATCCCTCGAATATTAATAGCGGTAGATGAAAATAAATAAATAGACTGTTTAAAATAGAATCAGTAAAGTAGACTTAGGTCTAGGTTATACTTGAATAAAAAAAATGGGATATTGTTTGTGTTTATACCAGTCTGCAAGTATTCATCATGGTAGGGTTGGAGCCATTTTGGAAGGATGCCTTATTTCTCTGCAGTGGTGATGCAACTGGCGAATTCTAATTAAACATCGCTTACAGAACAGCATATATTTGTCGTTTCAATGGCGACTTCACTCATAACTTAATATTAATGCTTGGAGTCACTAACTTCGTAATTATTTATTAGAAATGTTTGTTTTAATTTGATTTCTTCGTTTTCTACGGCTTATCAATCCTTTGCAGGTTACTTAAAGCAAGAAAAATTTACATTTTAAGAATTTGATTTTTTTTTAGATAACAATGATTTCATGATTGCAAGTCTTACAAACCCGTAGCTGTGGTGAGCCAGCGTAAAACAACCAAGCTTGTATTATCTAAAATGTTTAAAAGGCTATAATTACTGGGAAAATATTGCCCTATTTCCATGTAGTAATAGATTTGTATGTGAGGCATTTCATGATTTGCATACCAGAAGGAGAATATAAAAGGTCTACATCACTTAGCAACAACGCTAGATATTTTGTCATGTTACAGATGGTAATCCTAATAAGCCGTTACCTTTTGAAGCGACATTTGCCCGAACATCCAATTCATTGGCCAATCATCCAATAATATTGTCGATTGAAATTCATAAAATCTTTAAAACGGTTTTTTCTCAAGTCCTCTAACTTTTAGCATTGTTTCTAGTATTGATATGAGTTTCCTTACAAATCTTTTGTTTAATGTAGTGTGGAAAGTCAACTTATTGATTATCTCATTATTTTCTCTCTGAGTTACATGCGATATTTTGATTGAAAGTCCTCAAGTGATGTGATTTGTGTTGTTTAGCACAGTTCTTTGTAATAATTTAATGGTGGTCCACAAGGGTCAAAGATTTTGGTCATCCTCAAGACCCACTGGCTTCACTAGACCAAAGCCTGCTTAACCATTGATCTAAGAAAGCGATTGTATAGAGCTGACAGTTTAGATATTTCTAAACGATTAAAATAAAAAAATGGAATTCAAATTAATGATACTCAATTTCAAATTAATTAAGCTCACATTTAATTTCAAAAGCGTCACCTTCAAATTAAGAACCCCAAATGCGAATTAAAGAAAACTTAACATTACACCGCAATAAAGTATAGTTCAAATGAAAAGAATAAATTCAAATTAAAGATACCCAGTTTCGAAATAAAGACTTTCATTCAAATTTAAAAGATCCAGCATTGAATTAAAAAGCTCAAACGCAGATTTAAAGAATCTGAGCATTAAATTAAAAGAATTACAAACACGATCAGCTCCAAATTATAATTTTATTAGTTCGAAAATATTAAGAATTAAGAATTAGAAATTGTTTACAAACACTAAAGCGTACGAACAATATAATCACAAAGACATAATTACAAAGGCATGATTAGAAATTAACGTTTACCATTTTGTACTTGACGATCTTATTGTGACACGGTTCGTGCAGAATGATTCTCTACCTGAATGTATCTTTTCGTGCCCAAGAGTGGTATGATTTCATACATCGCTTCAGCTATGGTTTCTTCAACTTAGCGTAACCTGCACTCTTTCTGAGTAACTCCTGCTGGTAGTGAATCCATCGAGGTTTAAATTGAGTGAAATGACAATAGTAATATTAGCCGTTTCCTTATAAGGAAACATTCGGCATTCATTAAATGAGCAACTTGCACTGCGGTCGGGTAAAATTTATAAATACTTCATAATAAAACAGATTTTCAGGAAAATCTGTCTCTCAATATTGATGGAAGTTTCCTTCTTTTATTTAAAGCAGTGCAGTATGTCGAAATCTTGACTATATCATTATTGTTTTTCTAGTAACATGTAACATTTATTTAAGCAGTTTATGTTGTTGACATTTCTCAAGTGATGCGGTTTCTGTCATCTGGTAAAATCGTTTGGTAACACAAGTCCATAAGGTTGGAAATAGTATGGACTTCAACATGATTAACCGGCTTCTCTCGCTCCAAAATTGTCCAATTGTTAGATTAAGATTTGAATGGTTATATCTTATAAATGATTAAAGATTTCTTACTGGAATTCTCCGAGGTTATAACACTATTTGACTCTACTTTGTGCAATAAGAATATATAATCAGTCTCCAAGCTTAACGGAAGAATCGTAATTAAATCGATCATAAACGAAAATGACATGTTCAGAATTAATTAATCATAGAAAAGGATAGGAAGATAATGAAAGATTGAAATAAAGTTCATATATATATATATATATATATATATATATATATATATATATATATATATATATATTAAATTAAATTGATTTAAAATATGGCTTTTTCCGCTACACAGTTCTAACCGTGTTTCAAAATGGAAGCTAAAAAAATGGAAGCTTTTAGCTTCCATTTTTGAAACATGGTTAGAACTGTGTAGCGGAAAATATATTTAGATCAATTAATTTATAATATTAATGCTCTGTAAATTTACATCGAGCCCTATTTTGCAAAAATAAAAATATCTATAAGAACACCGGATTATATATCTTATTGTTCTTTCTTTATTTATATATATATATATATATATATATATATATATATATATATATATATATATATAGTTAATATTTGTGGTAAATATGCACATACATATGCAATATATATATATATACATAGGTGCATACACATACATGTATATTTTTTAAATAAAAAATCCAAGAGGATAGAATCCAGGTAGAACTCAATGTCCAGGACAGTGTAAGGATATAATAAAAAGGCTTAAACACTAATATTCCATGGTCATAATTTATTCCATTGGAATCGTAAATATGATCCAATTCATCAGACCTACAAATTTAAAAAGAAAACAGAAAAAACTACTCCGGAAATAAAAATAGAATTTAGAGAGAGTGTAAGTATGAGGGTGTGGGACGAATGTTAGAGCTAAAAAGAGGGGTAACAGACGAGAGAAGGTGGGAGATTAAAACTTAACAGAGAGAAGTATAGAGAGGTGAGTGGAAGAGGTTTAAGTGAGAGAAACATGAATGTTGTCGAATGTCTAATACATTAAAGATACATTTCGTGGTTACATACTTACACCATAGACGATCTAATTCTAAAGATCAGAATAAGAGGGAGGGAGAGGAAATTAAAAGATGAAGGGGTAGGGGAGGGAAATGGAATATATATATATATATATATATATATATATATATATATATATATATATATATATAATTCCAGGATCATATTCCAAATTAAATTATTCAAGATGATCTTTGCCCTCTTTAAGCATCATTCCTGTCCTGGATAATAAGATATCTCACACGTTTCACGTAGGATTTCATTTTCAAGTCTTTTTCCACTGATCTTTGGACTGTCATAGCTGAATCTCCTCTCTCACAGGCCAGACAGCTTATGGATTGAGTTGGATCTTTTCTAATTGAAGTCTTTAGCTCTAAGTTGAAATGATTATCCATCTTCCTGTCCACCGGCTTCCTTCGCTGAAAGCTATTTTTCACCATTAATCTTAGAAAACGTTTGAATACAGCGAACTGTTTCGACATCTCTGAAGGAGTTTGGTGACATGTGTGACATCCATAAGAATGTCTCTGGACCTATTTATGAACATGACTCGTATTTTTAAATTAATGGTTTGGTTTTGAAGAAATTTACCCCGTTGGCCGAAACTATATCTAAAGCGATTTATTCTATGTTTTAAATTCCTCAACACATGTACTAAATTTGTGATAACTGATCCAATACACCGAAGTATTTGAAATGTTTAATATTTACTAATTTCACATTCAAAAATTTTGTAATGGATTCAGGGTAGTCACAATCACGTCTTTCATTCCAATTCCAGATCATAGATTCTGTTTTGGAAAGGTATATCATGAGTCTTATTTCTTGGAATACATTTTAGAGGATAGTGATTTTCTCTTTGAGATCATTCTTTCCTAAATCATGATTAATTTCTAGTTACTCGTCTGGAATTTACCGTTTCTTTATAAAGCAATATTGTATATTTTCGCACTAGTAATATTTTAATTTGAAATTCAGCTTTTACCAATTTGAAATGCAGCATTGTTAATTTAAAGTTGTTTTTTTTGTTTTTTTTTAAATTAAAGTCGATATTTTTAATTTATATATGAGATTTTTAATCTGAAGTTCAACTTTTATAATTTGAAGTTCGACTTTCTTCGTTTGACGCAAAAAATATGTAAACTTCGGCGATTCGCCCAAAATGAATATCTGGATGAAAGTTTGCAAAATAATATTAAAGATAATAAAAAAAATGTAAATAAAAAAAAGCTTATCAAAAATCTTATTGTCCGACATTATTTCTTTTGTTAAAAAGGTTTTATCATCCTTTATGCAGTCAGTATTAACGTTGTATATATTAAGTGACACGTTCTTATTCGACATATGTAATAAAGCCATTTTATAATTGAAATATTTCTTTTTTACAAAAGCTGGCAACAATTTTAAAGAGTTACAGATAAATACAAATATTCAAAATTTAAATTCTAATGCACGTTAACTCAACATGGCTTCTGCGAGTGAAATGATTTTGCCAAAAATTAATTTTGTCATGTCACCATTATAATCTTACCATTCAGAAAATACTTTTTTTTTCATTTTTTTACTAATATTAAGTTTTCAATTTAAATACCCATTCATCTCGTTTTTTCTAATTATCTAATTATTTAGGAAAAACCCCAGGCGACTCTCTCAAATAAACTAAAAGTTTCAGTGCGCATTTTTATTTGATTTAACAACGAATTTGAAGGCGACCCATAAAGACTGCTGTCATTACTGGAGAAACAGCAGGCGCAGAGTTTTCTTGGATCTTGATTCAATTAACTTGCCTATTTCTATCGGATTAAGCTCAACCCATGTCCTTAGTTACTCATCATCAAAGTTTACCAGCTTTTCTTCATGACAGTCTTTTCAAGGCTAGGTAAGAGCAAGAAATTTATTTATTTTAATTTTATAAATCCCATGATTTTTTACGACGTAAGAGGCCACACACACAAACGCACAAATACACACACACACATAAACTCACACACACACAATTTTGCTGCTACACCCGATTTTATATATATATATATATATACATATATATTTTGCTACACCAGATATATATATATATATATATATATATATATATATATATATATATATATATATATATATATCGGTGTCAGCAAAAATTGTCCCAAATCGTGACCAAAATTGTCCAATTTTTAGATTAAGATTTGAATGATTGTCTCATAGAAATGATTAATTAAAGATATCTAACTCTAATTCTCCGAAGACTTTGAGCACTAAAATGTATAATTACTCTCCAAGCTTAACAGAATAACCATGATGAAATCGATCATAAACGAAAATGTCATGTTCAGCGTTAATTAATCATAGCAAAAGGATCGGAAGCTTAAGAGGGATTATATATATATATATATATATATATATATATATATATATATATATATTGTTAAGGATCATTTTCCAACTTATTCAAGATTATCTTCGCCCTCTCTAAACTTCTAATTTTCTGTCTTGGAGTAACATGTTGGCTCACAGGTTTCACATACGATTTCATTTTCACTTTTTCACTAATCTTTGGACTGTAATACCTGAAACTCTCTCACGTGCCAAACGTATTATTGATTATTGATTGAGTTGGATCTTTTCAAATTGACCTCTTTAGCTCTAAGTTGAAAAGATGATCACTCTTGCGGTTGTGACCTCCTGATCCAGTTTTTCTTATCTACTGTCCCATCTCTTACAAAATTAATCGCCGTTCTCTTGATGGTTCTCGGATGTTGACGATGGAAGCCAGAGTATGACTGTTGCTAACATTACTGAATGCCTTTTTCCTCTCACAATTGCTCATTTGGGAAGATAGTTGGGCTGACATTTGGGAAGATAGTGGATCTTTAATGCAATAAAGCCACTAACACTAGTAACGAGACAAAATAATAATAGAGCAATAATGAAGAAGACTTTTAGCACAGAATTTACGGTTACATCGATCAATTTCAACTGTTAAATGATGAAACTTTGAAGACAATCTAGTACGGCGCTGGAATTAACAAATTCTATGTACCATAGAGGAAGTTTCCTTTGAACGATTATTAAGAAGCTAGTTGTAGAAAAGGCACGAGGAATCTACATTAAGACGGATGGAAAGTGATTGATTTTGATAATTCATATGAATACATGGGAAATATAGTGGACTAATTCACTGGTGCCTTCTCCAAAGCTTTGGGATTCAAATCTTTCATTGCCAGCTCACTCTACTCTGCTTTTTAACCCATAGCCGTGGGGAGAAGATTTGGTTTTGTATTATGACGTCAGATTATATATTGCACCAAATTGGCGCTAGATCACCAGAGTGATAAAGTGGGTCATTCCCGACCGCTGAATTAAGAACCACGCGACCTCACCTCTGTAAACATTTTGAAATCGTAGGAAAGATTTGTAATACTTGTGGTTCTATAAAATAAAAAAAAACAGAGGATTTTCGTCTATATCAGACATCACTGAAGAAAATAATGTTGGCGTGTTAGACGAGGGCAAGGGAAATAAAGAAAAGAACGACTGTTGCATTTTTTCTAATTATTTCTACAAGAATTCGCTCAGTATAAAGCTCAAGAATAGAGTGTTACAGATGTCATGATGAACGAGATGTGCGCGTCTGTTACAGAACACTGTTTCATTCTATGTGCCGTCTTTTTTCAGTAGGAAGGTGATCATGGCTCTCCATAATTTCCTGTCCTTTAGAGATATGAATAATTTTTCTTTTTAATCCCTGTTCTGTGAGACATTTACACATGTTCGTTAGTTAGGTTATACGCCGCTTTCATCTGTCCCTCTTGCTTTCAGTATGCCTTACAAGTGTCAATTTTTCCAAGCCCACTTTCCTCATTATGTGCCCTACAAATTCCAACTATCTCTTTCTGATGTTAAGTATAAGTGTCCTTTTTGTTTCCCTTTCTCTAAAACATTGTATTTGCTTATACAATATTGTGCAAATTAAATGAAACAATAGCTTTAGTTTCTTTTCTTTCACTATACTGTTAGTGTCAGACCCACTTCAGTGACAGGATGTAATCAATTTCCATTTTTGCCAATGGTTAGACCATTTGCAGTGGTGTGCAGTAATCTGATTCTATTTTCGTGGTGTATGATGAAAATTGTTTGGTCATGAAAAATATTGCATCATCCGTGATTGCATCTGATTTCTATCACGCGCAGACGCTATTGTCTTGACTGTCGATCAGTTGTCCGACGGCCATTCTCTGCAATGGGCGTTACTCCAGGGAAGCGTACGAAAATTGTAACGCTGCACGAGCACACTGGCAAACATTACCAGTGAGCAAATCAAAGTACTATAAACTGGTCCGGAAACTCTCCTGATGTAAATCCAATCGAGAATTTTTGGTCAATCTGCAAGGAACGACATCGTGGAATGAACATACGAAGTACGAAGATGTGCACTGTGCCATGTTTCATTGGAAAAATACGAAAAAAATAACAGAATTATTCGTTTTGTTTCAATTCATTTGCACAAGTGTGTATGTTAAGTCCAAGGTATCTTCAGCATCCTTCTGTAGAATCACACATTTGCTGACTCCAGTCACATCTTCATCTCCAATACTCACTGCCATATCGAAGCATCGATAATACATAACAGCTAATAACACTTTTCTTCATTTCTAACGACATTATGCTATTTATCATTACTTTGCTCAGATTTTGGAAGATATTTTCTCTATCCCAATGCGTCTTCGAAATTCGCTGTCGTATTTTCTATCCTTCAATATTTAATTTGCATTTTGGCTTCTTTTTTTGGCACCCATACATCCTCTCTTCTTACTATTGATCATTATTCCTTTCTTCTCGCTTTCCTTTACTAACTTCTGTAAATCAAACTAATTAAGCAACCATTACATTTTCCCTTTCAGTATTTTGTTTTGACTAAACTTGAATATCGGGCAACCATATGTCTGTTATTTTTTCTGCTTCCGCCGACAGATAAATTCAAAATATCAGAGCTTTTTTCAAGCTATATTTATGTATTGTCCATTGGAAAAAAAGTGTTGAATAACATAAGAAAGTATAGAATGAAGAAAATTAGAAAAATAAATGAACATTTTTCGAGTAAATCTTTTATTCTTTATTCTTCTTTCTTTCCTTCATTCTTACTTTTTTCTAAAAATTGATGTTTCTTTGTATAAATTTTTATGCCATTTTCAAAATTTTACATGAATTATGAAAACATCCTCAAAAACATTCTTTCTACAGATTTGATCTTCTCGTCTGGTGATCTGCTAGGCTTTCTTTTTCTTTTCTTTTTTTTCTAAACAAGCCACTATTTATCTAATTTTTCAGTAAATTGTGAATATTTCTTTCTTGCTTTCTTTCCTTCCTTCCTTCTTTCTTTCTTTATTTCTTTCTGTCTTTCTTTCTTTCGTCCTTTCTTTCTTTATTTTTTCTTTCTTTCTTTCTTTAGATTGGATCTTCCCCACTATCTCTCAGATCTTTTCTACAGATGTTACGGTTTGCATAATTTCTAGACTATCTCCATTTCTTTCTTTCTTTCTTCTCAACAAATCCATTCTTATTACTTTCCAAAAACGCTAGATTATTTGTCTGTCTGTCTGTCTGTCTGTCTGTCTTTCTTCCTTTCTTTCTTTCTTTCTTTCTTTCTTTCTTTCTTTCTTTCCTTCTTTCTTTCTTCTCAACAAATCCATTCTTATTACTTTCCAAAAACGCTAGATTATTTGTCTGTCTATCTGTCTTTCTTTCTTTCTTTCTTTCTTTCTTTCTTTCTTCTCAACAAATCCATTCTTATTACTTTCCATCCAAAAACGTTAGATTGTTGTCTTTTTTCTTTCTTTCTTTCTTTCTTTCTTTCTTTCTTTCTTTCTTTCTTCTCAACAAATCCATTCTTATTACTTTCCATCCAAAAACGCTAGATTGTTGTCTTTTTTCTTTCTTTCTTTCTTTCTTTCTTTCTTTCTTTCTTTCTTTCTCAGAAACACTATATTCCTTTCTCCTTTCCATACAGTTTTTTGCCATTTTCAACATTTCCCATTATTACTGCGAAATTTATGTTTCTCTTTACATTTGGCTTCTTGTACAATTAACAACGTCTCTTCGAGTAAATTACCATTTCGTTTTAATTTTCGTTTTCAAGATATCTTATTTTTAGTCCACTACTTTTTTTCATTTTCCTTTCATTTTTTCATTCTTTCCTTCCTACTCCCTTTCTTTATTTCTTTCTTCCTCCCGATTTAGCTATCTCTCGGGTGTTTTCCTAAAGATGCCACAGTTTGCCTAATTTTGCGAGTATGTTTCTTTCATTCTTCTCGCCATATAGATTTTTTATTACTTTCCAATAACTCTCGATTTCATTTCATTCATTCTTCCTTCCATTATTTTTTCTTTCTTTTTTCAAATCTTAATGATCATTTCTAAATTTTTTTATGGCATTTTTAAAATTTACAATTAATAATTAATACAGCGGAATTAGGAGTTTCTTGCTTTTGGATTTTCGTAAAATTAACAACGTCTCTCTCTCTCTCTATCTCTCTCTCTCTCTTTCTCTCTCTCTCTCTCTCTCTCTCTCTATCTCTCTTCTCTCTCTCTCTTCTCTCTCTCTCTCTCTCTCTCTGAATTTATACTCATTTCGTTTCAATTTTGAGAAAGAAAGAGCAATCAAAGACTGATCCCTTTATTAATTCTCCGGGGCTAGATTTTTATCGCCTCGCCAACCATTAATATTAGGTACCTCCACGAGATCGCTAAAAAAAAAAAAGAGCATGACATGATGAAAAAGACGCCAAACTTGGCGAAAATAAAATTTTATCGTCTAAATGTTTATGTTATTATTAAGAGGAAAGATCAAAGTATTTTGGGGGTATTTTTTTACATTTTTTAATTGTTCCTAGCACGTCCGACATTTTCGTTAAATATATTGTTTTTTTGAGTCAGAAAAATTGACCATTTTATAAAAAAACTGGAAATCTCAATTTGAAATTCTTTTAAATATCAATTATCATTTTTTCAAAACTTATTTTAAGAAAATCAGAAATTATAATATTATATAATGTTTATTTAAAATATTTTGAACCAAGCTTAACTTAGCTTCGGCGCTGAAAAACTTTCGCGTCACTTGAGAGGTGATGAATGACATATTGACGCATTTCGTGAGGATAATTTGTTCTACGGAAGGAGAAAAGTGAAATAATTTACATTTAAGTGAACAAATTATTTACCTCGTGATTTTTAAGGAAATCAGCGCTCTTACTTTTTTGTAATTAGCTTTCAGCATTACGTTTACGATGCTTTATGGAAAATATATCATAAAGAAATTAAAATATGACTGTTAAGAGTGAGATTAAATTTCATATTTCATAAGAAAGGTATCTAATTAAATTATAGGTACCTTTCTCATGAAATTTTATCAGAAGTGTACATAAATTACTATAATTTTATGTACATTTATTACATTTTACTGTGTTATTTGTATTTCCATTCATTTTATTATTAATTTTGATATTTCGTTAATGGAAAAATGTCATAACTGAGATTAATATAAACATAAGATCATATAAATTTCATAAGATGATACTGATACTTGTAGGTACCCTTCTCAATTGAAATTAAAAAATCAAATTAACTTCTCCACACGTGTTTCGCAAAAGTAAAAGCCTTAAAAGCGGAGAACAATGCAAATTAATTGTATTCTGGTTGGTCTTCCGTACTCTATAATTACAGCCCGATTATAAACACAAAATCACATTTTTTAATTACTGCAGATCTTCTGATTAGTAAAAACGATACAATTTACATCGCGCTAAAAAAGATCTATCTCATAAGGAGACTTAGAAAACCCGTTGCGGCTTTTAACTAATTTTATAATATTTTAACAACTTAAATGTAAAATCCATTATAATTAAGAAATAACAAATAATTGTATTAAAAATCCATTTTTCATCGAAAATAATTTTTGCTTTCAAAAAATATTGACCATATTCATAAAAACAACTAAAAACAAACAAAAGCATTTGAAATGAAATAATATCTTTGTTTTATTGAGTTTTGTATGTTACAATTCAGGGCTCATTTTCTTTTTTTTCTATGTGCTGTATCTCTTCAGGACGTTGCCTCCACAACTTCCTGTCCTTTGGAGCGCCTAATAAATTTCGTCTTTTTTCCCCTTTCCTTCAACAGATAAATTCAGTATGTTACCAATTTTTTTTAGCTTGATTTAGGATTTGACTAAAAAAAAGTATAAGTCAATAGGTTTAGAAAATAATTACAGATAGAGAAAAGCAGAATAAAAGTTCAAAACTGGGATGTTTTGTTTTTTTTTACATATTCTAAAAATTCTAATAAAAAAAATCATATATGCCACTAAATTTGACGGAATAATGATTTTCATGAGTTGGGATCTCCTAAGAGTAACAAATTTCATCTTGTTAAATATATTACTTATTCTCGAGTAACTAAGAGAAAGACAGTTTTAAACAAGTTTTTTTTTTTCTTTCTGATATGTCAAAAGACTTTGAAACTTTTCTATACACTATGTACATTATTCGGACGATTGTCCTCATTTCTGTCGTCATATTTATTACAACGTTTCGACCGTTGAACACTCCGGCCTCCTACAGGTGGTTGGAATGTCGAACTTTATTTCGCTCACTGGGGTAGACTGTTCTAGTTTCACGTGCCATGTTTAATGGATGTCAGTTGTTATCTCCTGTTAATTCCCCTCTCCAAGTTCTCCACTGCCTTAAGAACGCATGGCACAGTGGATAAAATTTATATAATTTTTTACGTCCGAAATAGAATATGAAAATAAAAAATTAGATGTAAACAAATCCTTTTCTAACGAATAAACAATATGAAGCCTGTTGAAAAAGTAGCGGGACTATTGCTATAGTAACAGAGCTAAAGTCAGCAAAGTGAAGTCGCATGGCACAGATTGACCTTGAACTCCGCTGCGTTAAGTCACAACGTACTCGCTCAGTTCCTTTTTTATAGCAGTGCTTAGGAGGAAAGTGTGTAGAGTGTGGTATTCTCACCATACTACAGAGATTACCATTGCTTGTACTAGAGTTTGTGGCCAAGCGCAACATTCCCCAGGTCCGACTACCACCATATTCCCCTGATCTCACCCCTTGCAACTTTCCAACTGGAAAGGAACAAGAACTCAAGATGACGAGACAAGCAAATAGAATGCGACCTAGCTACTGCTAGCTATCGCAAAAACAAAAGAAAAAGGATTTCCGTGAACGTTTCTATCAATGGAAAAGACTCTGGATAAAATGTGTGGCTTCAGAAGAGGACTATTTTGAAGGAGTTTAAATGCCGAATTTTTATGTGTTGTTGTTTACTTTTATAGCATTAGACATGGCACTTTTTGATCAAACACATACGCCTGGTTAATACCGAAAAAAAAACTTCCATTCCAAAAAAATGTGGAAAATTTTAACTCACATTTTCAATTTCATGCGCTAAGAAATGATAACTGCTTTTTCCTCAATTAAATGACATAGTAAATAAGATAAAAATATACAAATTCGCAATAACATCCATTTTGTTTTACAAGTTATTATCAAACTCATTTTATGCTGTTTTACAATCGTCTGCTTCTTACAATTATTTTATTCGCTTAAAATTAGGCTACAATAATTTTCTAAAAGCTCTTTTCTAAAACTAATACTGTAGTAACATAGGCAAAATGGACTTGACCTATTTTGTATTGAGTCGAGTGATTACTAGTACGCCATTCGTCCATCGTTATGGAGGTACAACTCGTAACGCGAGACGACTGGCGTATTAGTAATCACTCGAATAATACAAAATAGGTCATGTTCATTTTGCCTATGTCACTACAGTAATATTTTTTAAGAAAAGAGCATTTAGAAAATTACTGTAGCCTAATTTTGAGCGAATAAAATATATGTAAGAAGCAGACGAGTACCTCACTTTATAATTAAAAAAAAATTATTGATATATTTTTGTTCTGATAAAACTCCCAGATCTCTATTCATAATTGGATGTCAATTATGGCTATTTATTATGGACTCTGATTATCAATCACTCTGTCCTCTCGAAAGATAAGCATATATTATCAAAAGTTGCGTTCAATTTCACAATAGATGCGTTTGTACAACACTAAACCAGACTGAATAAAGATATATTCCTGATTTAATACAGCGTTATTTACCCACTTCTCAGCCAGAGATTTTCTTCTAACATCTCCCAAACGGCGTTGACAAAACGCAATATAGAATAAAATGCCTCAAAGTTTCAGTCATTTTTCTTTCTCCATTTGCGCACTGGATACCGTAATGACAAGACGTGCCTCGTTTACACAACATTGAATTCCGTAGTGCCCAGTGAACCACATTTTTCCATCTTCTTCTAGCTGTGCTCCTTCAGGTCGTGAAAAATCATAGCTCTCCACAACTACCTGTGTTTTGTACCACACAGGGTATTTTGAAATGTGTCTATCACTCCTAATCCCTGCTCTGCCATCAATTTACACAACCATGTTATTTAGGTCACTTGCTCCTTTCCTCTGTCCCTCTTGCTCTCAAAGTGACTTATGCGAATCCAATTCTCCAAGCTTTCTTTACCCATTAAGTGTTTTAGAAATTTCAACTGGCTTCTGATTCTAAATATAAATAATCTTTTGTTTTCTCTATACTTAAACTTCCATATTACTCACATTTTCAGTCAGGGATGTTTTTTAGAACGAAATTACTGTTGCCCCAGATCTCCGCTTCATATGTGGGGAGATACTTCAGCATTCACTGTCATATAGGAGGACCGATATTCAAAATAGTTCAGCATTCTTTTCTTTGTTTCTAAAGAAATTTTTTGACCAAGTAATTGGTGTAGGAAATAACAAAAGAAGTGTTACAGATATATCATATACTAGCAGTAGAGCCCGGCGTTGCCCGGGGATGTAACATTAAGAGAAACATCAAGTATCGACCATCATAAAGACTGAAAAATAAAATTGACAAAGATTATTGTTTAAGGTTGATGGACACGCATGTCTTAATTAGTTTTTTTTCTTTTTTTTTTTTTTTTACGAATTGGTCAAACCCAAACTCAAACAAAAACATTGTTTTCAATCGTTATGAGTCTACAGATTGAATAGAATTTTATTATAAACAATTGTCTTGTAAATGGAATTTTTAAAGCATTCTGAATGTAAAATAAAGAAAAAAAGTGTGCAAGACAATAAGAAACACTACCTGCCAAAAAGAAAAGTGAAGTTTTGTTGAAATCGGTTGAAAAATTTAGGAAATCCGATCCCATATATAAACGAACACACACACAAACACACACACATACACACATACACACACACAAACAAACAACCTGGGTTTTATAATAAGTATAATTCGATAACTCGATATTAATAAGTATAACTCGATATGAATTGTCCCCCTTTCATTAATGACTCTTAATCGTGTTTTCAAATTGATTTCGTGCAAAAACAATTGTGTTTTTCCAATTTTTGGCACTGTCAGAACCACTGCAAAGTAATTTTACGTAGTCCTGTGAAGTTTTGTTGAAATCGGTTGAAAAATGTAGGAAATCCGATCCAATATATAAACGTACACACCCACACACACACACAATCTGCGTTTTATAATAAGTAAGATTAAACAGTAAACACAACAGAAGAGTATTACACAATAGGTAAGTGTGTGTCGGTTGACCCAGCGTTCAATCTATTCAACTGTTATATTTACCAGCCTCCCAACGAGGTAGGATGTGGCACAAAGACGAGTTTAATGTGGGACAATCCGTGCCCGTAGGCTCGGCCAAAAACTCCCCGTAGAACCCGTATAAAACGGGGTCGGGTAGCTGTTGCCCGAGATGAAACTCTGTCCTTCGACATAGCCGCGTCAGGGAATCCTCTCTGCCCGGAGGCAGAGAGTTTGACCAGCACAGCTGGAACAGATTTATACGACTGTTAATATTTAACAGCCCCTCACCACGAGGGATGTATGTGGGACAAGGCTGATTTACCGTGTGTTCTCTGAGCCCGTATGATCGGCCAAATATATTCCTTTTGAACCCGTATAAACGGGTTCAGGATCTGTCTACCTCCCCGGATGAAACTTTGCCCTTCGGCAAAGCCTCGCCCGGGTTCCTCTCTGCTCGAAGCAGAGAGTTCGACAGTTGAACAATCTATTTGTCTGCTCCCCCAAGGATTTCTCTCCTACTAATCTTATAATAGTCGGAAGAGTCCAACATTGACTCTTTAGAGGGAGGACACCACAACAAGAAATGCTCTTTTTTTATATATATTTTACCTACATTTTGGAAGTCAGAGTTCGATATTTCAATAGACGTTCGGATTTTGGTATTACATTTTCTGTCCTCTGCTAAAATTCTTATCAGATATTTCAATTTTCCTTCTTGGATTTTGGCATCTCCATTTCATAGTGTGCATCTTGCAATGTACCTTTTGTTAGCAACCTTATATTCTGTCTTCTCACAATACATGTTTATTTTTTTTCCTTTCCTACTTTCTGCAGCAGTGCCTGTTGTTTACATTACGGGTCTGTTGTATTTTTAACAATTAATACGTCAACAAACTGGCAAACCGCTACACAGCAAATTGTAAATTTGTTATTTGTATAAATACACATCATTGAATAATAACTCTCTTCAACAACCGCAGTTGATTTTTTTCTAACTAATCTAACAAATGTAAATATCTACCACGGATTCCCTTCATATTTTCTGAAGATTAAGCTTTCTACGGAACGGCGCCATACAAAATTAATATCTAATCCTTCTCTCGGTTCACACGTTTCATTTTTCAGTTGCAGACGAGACTAAACTAAGTAAATCTCACCCACCCACTGAGGTTTTTAATACAATTCGGCATGCATCCAAGACTGCACGAAGAAAAATAAGACGGTATACGCGTTCGTTCATCTGGACATATTTGCAAACATTTCTCGGTTGTTCGGCTACAGAGGTACGCAAATTCTTGTAACATCTCGAAGCGACATTGGATTTCAGGTTCGTGCTCCTGGAGATTGATTATAAAATGTCCCTTCACTTCTTTAAGTCCTTGCTATCAAATTCCTTTCGTTTTATGGCTTCCGAATTTCATTTAACGGTTTGGAAGTCTCACAAGCACGTATAAATAAATAAAAACACAGCAAAAGAAGAAAAATAATATTCAAATATCGAAAGACTGATTTGATTGGGTGTTAACAAAAGCATAGAAGAGTTATCTAACTTCAGCTATCTTTCATTTTCTCCGTTATTATTATTATTATTATAATTATTATTATCATTATTATATTTTTTCAAGTGACCAGTCCATTTCGCCTGGCAAGGACCGACCCAATCAACGGTAAACCACTTATGAGTGGTCAACTGTTTCAATACATCGCGTACTTGGACTTGTCAAATACTAAAACCGTCAAACGCGAGAGAAACAACTTTCGCATGATTCTTTTTTCCTCCCTAACCAGTTTACCCTCTAAATTGATCATACGAATATCACTATCACATTTAGAGCAAGAGAGAGATAGAGAGAGAGAGAGAGGAGAGAGAGGGGAGATGTATATAGAGAAAGAGCTTGAGGTTGGGTGGAGATAAACAAAAAAAGCAATCAACTGTCCTTGCTGTCGCAATAGGGAAGACTCGCAAGTTCCCACGCGCAGTTTGGGCAATGTGCGCCATATAGTGTTGCGCATGCGTGCGGCGCGTTTCTCTGGTTTCGGCTGCTTCCTGTCGCACAACGACTTCCTCTTCTTCGATGAGTTGATATCAATTGCTGTCACCGACCGCACCCGAAAGCACATTACGTTTTGTTAAGTACATACTTGAAATGAAAGTTGAATGAAAGCATGCAGGCATATATATATATATATATATATATATATATATATATATATATATATATATATATATATATTTTATAGTTTTTATGCTTGCACAAAGAACGCGTTCATATATATATATATATATATATATATATATATATATATATATATAGCGCTGACAAAACACGTTTCAAACAAAAACAAATATTAATTTCAAATTACGTCCAAAGATATTTTTCATTATTTTGAGAGGATTTTTGTGTTATTTGTTTGTTTGTTTTTATTTCTCTTTTTCATGTATTTAATCGCACGCTTATTTTTCTGTCTTTCAATTTCTTCCTTTCCTTTTTTCTCACTTTTCCTTCCATTTTGGCAAAGTGTCATTCTCTAATATAATAAGATGTCATAGACTTTCTACTAATCCCATTCTTTCCGTCACATTATCTCTCTTTCTTTGTCTTCCCCTTTCCCTCTTTATATACCTTTCTCATTCGTTGCTTTCATTTTCTCCGTCTTCTCTTATATTTCAAATTTCTTCATATGTTTATATTCTTTTTTAATTAGATTTCTTTTTTTGATAATATTTTTTCTCATTTTTTCGTTTTCTTCTTCATTGTTTTTTTTATCTCTTTCATTCTGTCTTTCTTGTATTGTGTTTTTGGTTTTGTTCCGATTAAATCTTGTTTTGTCTTTTTTTTTTTTTTCATCGTCGTTCCTTCAATTTTTTTTTTGTTCTTGCTATGGTTCGAATATCATTTTTAACTTTCCTCCTACTACGCATCTTCTTATTATTTTTGTTATATTTTTATATTTATTTTTTCATCTTTCATTTTCTTCCATTTTAAATGTTAGATTTAATCTTGTGTTTGGTGTCCGAATTATATTTTTTAGGTTTCATTTTTATTCCTTTCGTTTCTTTTTTTTTTGTTAGTTTAGTTTATATATATATATATATATATATATATATATATATATATATATATATATATATATTCTTTTTTCTTTTCATTTTGCTTGTTCTTGTGGTTCGAATTTGCCGTAATTTTATTCTTTATTTTCTTCTTTCGAAATTTCCATTTTTTTTTTTCGTTCTTGTTTTTATTTCACTTATTCTCATTGTCTTTCGAACTTTTCTGTTTTCATTTTATTTTGCCTGTTCTTGTCTTTCTAAATCTAATTTTCTTTTCCCTGTTTTCATGATTCTAATTTAATTTGCTATAATTTCATATTTATTTATTTTCATTTTCCATCTTTTTATTTCTACTTTTTTACTTGTTTTATATATATATATATATATATATATATATATATATATATATATATATATATATATATATATATTTTTTTTATTGTTTTCATTTCTTTTTTTTTTGTTCTTCTTGTACTTGGAGTTGTATTTTCATTTTCTTTTTCTTGTGCTTATGGTTCACATGTTATTTCTTTCTTTCTCTTCATTTTCTTCTCGTTCTAATTTTCCATTATCTTCTTTTATTATTTATTTTCATTTGCCTTGTTATTATTTCGATTCGAATTTTCTTTTTCCTTTTAATTTTCCTTCTTCTTGTGGTACGAAATGATATTTTCTTCTGTTTGTCTTTGCCATTTTCTTGTTTTTGTTGTGCTTCGAATTAAATTTTGGACTTCTTTTATTTTCTTTCATTTCAGTTTTTTTTTTAATTACTTCTTTTCATTTCCTTTGTTATTTTTTCGATTTGAATATTCCTTTTTTCCTTTTAATTTTCCCTCTTCTTCGTGTCCGAAATGAATTTTCTCTTTTCTTTGTCTTTACTATTTTGTACTTCTTTTATTTTCTTTCATTTCAGTTTTTTTTTTTTCTTGTCATGGTCTGAATTTCATTTTTCATATTTTCTTGACTCCATTTTGTTTTTGTTGTTGTTGATGCTCGAATTTCATTTTTCCTTTGATTTTTTTGTTTTTTTTTTAGTTTCCCTTTTCGTTACTTTAATTTAATTTATTTTTTTTTATTCTTTTCTTTTCAGTTTTTACGTTTCGTAGATTTCCATTTGTCTATGTGGTTTTAATTAGTAATTTTCTTCGTTTATTTTCTACTTTTTCAGTTTCCTTTTTCTTGAAAATTGAATTTCATTTTTATTTCTTTCATTCATAGTATTACGATTTTCGTTGCTCCTGAAAAGATTCCAATTAATTTCCGTCTTTTCTTCTTTTCCTTTTCAGTGCTGCTGTTCTTGTGGTTCCAGTAACATTTTTCTTAATTTATTTTATTTTCTCCCGTTTTTCATTTCAGTTTTACTGTTTATGTTGAAGTTTGAATTCCTTCATTTTTCCTTATTTTACAAAAATGTTAAATTTCTGCTTCATGTTGTAATCCAAATTTCATTTTCTTCTTTTCTAATATTTTGTCTTTATTTTGTTTTAATTTTCAAGATTTTTCTTTTAAACATTTAACTCCAGGCAAGGCAATAAATCCGCTAAGATGCAAGGAGTTATTGATTGTGAAATAATCTGAGAAAAAGAGAAGCAGCTAGCAATAAATTAACAGGAATTAAGAAGACAAAAGATAATGATTAATATTGCATTTAAATTTTACTTATTTAAAATTATTTAGATATGCAGTTAAAATTCTTCTTTTTTCTTTCTATATTTAGGTATTTTATTTATTTTTATCTCCTTTGTATTTTTGATTTTTCTTTTGGGTTATTTTTTCTTCTACCTTTTACTTTTTGTTTTTTTGGTTGAGTTGTTGAAATGCGTCTTTATTTATTTTTATGTTTCCTTTAACAGTTGAATGGCTTACTTACTGTCCATGCTTTCTTTCTCATATGCTCCCCATCTATTTCTTTCTTTTCCCTTCTCTTTGATGATAAGTTCTCTTACGGCCATTCATTTTTCAGCCATTGTTTTTAATTCACTTCATTCTACCCGTTGTATTATTTTCCCTTTCTAATTCTATTTTTAGCCATGTCTGCGACAGCATTTCTCAGGGTAACGAAGGAAAGTTTGGAAGGGTATCAAAAACTCGAGATTGAAGGAATTGTTTAATTTTAGAGGAACTGAACTTGTCCAGACCATGACAATGCCGGGGTCTGTCTGGATATTGCCGGAGATGGTGCAGATGTGAAGAGACGTCCTGTCACTCAAACAATTCCTGGAATAACAATGAGAAACTTGAGAGAATTGTAGGTTCAAGGAACGAATTGTGATTGTTCTATTCTCCTGAAATTATATTATCGATTATGGTACAGTGGAAGGTCCTGGAGATGTTCAGATATCTGCGGTATCTAGTAGCTGATACATTGTTTTCCACCATCAACCTGGAAACGAATCATTGCTAACCTATCACTATTTTATTGCTGTTGTCATGGTGATCTAAAAGTCCTTGACTTCACCAGTCCAGTCCTTCCTAGCTGGAACTTACTAGACCATCAACACTGTCGATCTACATCCATTCCTTGCATAGTTTATTGATAAAGAATTAGTTACGGTTTGACAGCTGCTTTCCAATAACTTCTACTGAGTGGAACAGACTCACAAGAGGATGCTTCCCCGACTGTTAAAGTCTTAACAAATTCATGTCTAGGGTCCAACATTATCTATCCTACATATTCGCATGATAGGGACCTCTTGCCCCTTCTTCATACGCCTTTACATCAACTTCAGTAAGTAACGCTCTATTATGAGCGTTGTATTTGGTAAACAATAGGGACAAAAACATATTATAGCCACGAGCGTTGTAAATTTGTAAATAAACAAATAAATAAGTAAAAACAATAGGGATAAAAAACATATTGGTCAACGTAGCCACGATAATAAAAAAGATGGGAGTACGAAAATAAAAATAAATAATAAAAAATAATAATAATAAAAAAATAAATAAGTAAATAAATAAATAAAATAATAATAATAATAATAATAATAATGAGTTCCAAATATGTGAAGAAATGCAAGTAGAGCATAATACACCGACTGCAGCTGCAAAATACATTAAAAAGAAAACAAAGGCAAATGCAATCGACCAGATGCAGAAACGATGGCAAGATAAATTACTTCACGGTAAACACTCTGCCCTTAACAAACAAGCTGATGGAGACAAACTCCGTAACCATTAGACGCTACGTAGTGTAGGGTGAAAACCTGAAACCGATGGGTTTTATTCTTGCTGTGCAGGACATACGTTTGCTAACTAGAAGCACACATACTGAGACATTATGTTAGCCCAAAATGCAGATTCTGTGATAAATATCCAGAAACAATTGAACATCTTTATTTGGTTGCGCAGTATTGGCACCAAATGAATATAAACCACGTCATGTCAGAATGGGCCAATATCTGTAACTTTTGTGGAATGGAAACTACAAGAAATTGAAATGAACACCACACAGAATAGGTTACGGAGAAAGGATCTGTAACAATTTGATGGGACTTTACAATACACCCAGACAGAAAAATCAAAGCTAATCGCCCAGACATAGTAATTAGAAACCGTAAAGACAAAATATGCCTTCTTATTACAAGGTCCTTGAAATCGAAATCTCAAAAGCTGTAGCACATGAAGATATCAACAATTCTAGTTGTAGTCGGAGCACTCGGATTCATTGGAAAAAATTCCAATAGACTCATTAAAGGGATTCATGGTACTCGATGACTTAAAGAAATGCAAAAAAATGTTCTCATAAGTACAGCCCACACCTTACGAAGGGCTTTATGTATGTAAAATAAATTTTTCAAAACTGGTCAGTAGAAAATGCAATGATGCCATTTCTGACTTTAGGTCTCTCCTTGGGACCCGGAAAGACATGTGAACACACCAGAAATCAAAGGAAATAATAATAATAATAATAATAATAATAATAATAATAATAATAATGATAACAATTGGCCTCCAAAGATATTTGGAAACTACAGAAGACTGGATGATGGTATGCGTCAAGGAACATGAAAGTAGTAAGCGTCCCTACTCCGTAATGAAAGAAGCCAACAAATTCAAAATGGAGTTTCAAATGGGCGTAGAGATGCAACTACAGCACAATACACCGGCTGAAACTGCAAAATAACTAAAAAAGACAGCAAAGACGAATGCTACCGACCAGATACAGAAACAATGGCAAGATAAACCGCTTCATGGCCAATACTCTGCCTGTACCAAACAAGCTGACGTAGACAAAACCCGTACCCATCAGTGGCTACGTAGTGCAGGGTTGAAAGCGGAAACTGAAGACTTTATCTTTGCTGCGCTGGACCAATGCATGCTAACTAGGAATTATCAAGCACATATACTAAAATATTGTGTCAGCCCAAAATGCAGATTCTGGGATAAATATCCAGAAACGATTGATCATCTTGTATCAGGTTGCACGATGTTGGCACCCACTGAATATAAAACCCGACATGACAGAGTGGGCCAATATCTGCACTGGAAAATCTGCAACTTCTACGGGAAGGAAACTGAAAGAAACTGGTATGAACACCACCCAGACCCGGTTACGGAGATAGGACCTGTTACAATTCTATGGGACTACACAATACACATTGACAGAACAATCAAGGCAAACCGGCCAGATATTGTTATTAAAGACCACAAACAAAAACGGTGCCTCCTTATTGATATGGCAGTCCCTGCTGACTGCAATGTATCTTTAAAAATATTCATAAAGTTGTCAAAATACAAGGACCTTGAAATAGAAATCTCGAAAATGTGGCATATGGGAACATCAACAATCCCAGTTGTAGATGGAGCCCTAGGACTGGTTGGAAAAGTTTGCAGTAGACTAATTGAAAAGATTCCTGGAAGTCCATGCCTCAAGGAGGTACAAAAATTGTTCTGACAAATACAGCCCACACTTTACGAAGTGCTTTATCTATGTATTTTTTTTTTTTTTTTGACAGTGGAAAGTTTCATGACGCCATTTCTAACCTTAGATCCCTGGCTGGGACCCGGAAAGAAATGTGTAAACGCCAGAAATCAAAGAAAATAAAAATAATAATAATAATAATGAAATTGAAATCGAAATCTCAAAAATGTTGCACATGGGAACATCAACAATCTCCGTTATAGTTGGAGCCCTCGGATTGGTTGGAAAAGATTTCAGTAGACTAATTGTAGGGATTCCTGGCAGCCCATGCCATAAAGAAATACAAAAAAAATTGTTCTCGCGAGTACAGCCCACACCTTACGAAAGGCTTTGTCTATGTATTTTTTTTCCCAGTGGAAAATGTCATAATGCCATTTTCAACTTTAAGTCCCTAGGCGAGACCCGGAAAGAAATGAGTACACATCAGAAATCAAAGGAAATAATAATAATAATAATAATAATAATAATAATAATAATAATAATAATAATTGAAAGGATTCCTGGTAGCCCATGCTGTAAAGGAATACATAAAATTGTTCTCACAAGTACAACACTAACCTTGCGAAGGGCTTTATCTATGTAAAATATGTGATTTTTTTATTTGTTTTCTTTGATTTTTTTTGATTTTTCAAATATGCTCAATGAAAAATGTCATGATGCCATATCTGACCTTAAGTCCCTTGTTGAGACCCGTAAAGAAATAGGCATACACCAGAAATCAAAGGAAATGAAATAATAATTTGAATAATTTGTAAAATATATTTAAAGTGTCGTTTTTTTTTCCTTTTTTTATCAATCTTTGATAGATTTAAAAAAAAAACAGTTTTTTCTTTTCCGTCTTGTCTTTCCTTATTTTCTATTCTTAAAGTTTTATTTTTATTATTCTTTTTCTTCATTCTTCCTGATCACTATTTATTTATTTATCCGTCATCAAAACTGTTTGGAAATCTCACTTTCAGCTCTCTTTATTACATAGATGTAATTGCTTTTCAGACATCATTTTCGCAGTTTCCAATTCTGAGAACAACCAAATCAAGTTATCAAATGCTCTCATTTAAATCAGAATATTTTCATTAAATTTCTTTTTTAATAAGGGATATAAAGTTTACCTTTAAATTAAGAAAATAAATTCAAGAAGTAGACAGGTACTATCATTGTATTTAATGTTAATATCTAGCGACTCGTTTTCAGGTTTTTCCCATCGACCTGAGTCTCAAGATAATTGCCACTGCAAGCACTTGCCCGGACGCAATTGTGTCTCCAACACCCATAGAGACAACTTGTACTTTAAACCAATGCTGAGCGGACCTTAGTTACAATTTCTGGGAGATAACATGTGTGATCAATCGTTGAACAAACCCAGCCGGCTGGGACGCTCACTGATGTATAACTAGCAGTCTCCTCTATCACATTTTACCGACACTACTTCGGTCCTCCTGTGGTACATTTTTTATGGTACTACCCGAAGATGCTGGATTGGTCTCCCCCGCCATGTCCTTCACAATGAGATTCGAACATTGGCATTGATTTATTGGTTTGTTTTGTTTTGCAATTTATCGACTTTAATGTGTTATTTAATATCGATCAGATTTTTAAACTAGGTTGGTACGAATAGAACATTTTTTTCCTAAGAAATCAGTTTCTCCAGAGTGGTCCTAAAGTCGTGTCACCCCCAATAATAGTAATGAGAAATTTACAAGAACACCAAATACAGTAATACGACACACATGTACTGGATTCAGTTTATTCACTTTCATTGACGCTGTCACACATCGAGAACGTCTGTATGAACACACCATTATTTTCGTGTCAGTCGTCTGAAATAGAAAATTATATTATGTAGGGGTGACAAAGGGATCACTTTGTAGACGATGTGGGGGTAAATGTTGCCAATTAGATGTTTTAACTGTTTTCAATGAAATGTTTCATACTTCTTTGTTAGTTCCCACGTTTTTACTTTGTTTAGCAGTATATGAACAACTCTTGGGTTATTTAATGCCGAATTCAAAACATTTCAGTAAAATCTAGAAGCAGTTTCTGTTTATAGGACTTAAAAAGATACAGGCTGGTCTGAAAGTCTTGTCACTCTCTAACGAAAAGTAATGAGAACAATAGAAGAACAAGTAATACAGTAATAGAAAGCACATGTATTGGATTCAGTTTATTAATTTTCATTGACGATGTCACACATCAAGAAGGTCTGTATGAACACCATCATTTTCGTGGCACGCATTGATGCGGTTTCATGTCCAGTGTGAAATTTTACGAGGCTGTGTTCTGTTGATTGTGGAAAAGGCTCTCCGAACGACGTCCTTCAACTGATGTACATTCTAGTATATTTCATGTGAAATTCTCTCCTTAATAATACCCCACATATATACAGAGGTGAGAAGACTTTCACACCACCCTATAGATCAGGTTTCACTGGCGTATTTTTGTAATTAATTTTTTTTTGTCTAGGGCCAAATGTATTGCTGGTAATATTTTTTAAAAATTATTTACTGCACGTATTTTTACCATAAAAATCCTCAGAACCCAGTTTTGGGGTTCACTATTTTCCCATAGATGGGGCCCTATAAAGTGCTATCTGCACTTCCGAACACTGGACCTCATGGTTATAGCGCTAACGTTATAGAGATAAGGCCAGGTGTATGTAGAAAAAACAAGTAGAAACTACAAACTTAATCCTGGATAATGAAATTGAGTTCATAAAACATTTTCAAAAGTTCATATAGGGTGTTTCATTAAGACGGATCAAAGTCAGCAGGAAATAAATCAGTTTTATTGGTGACAATTTATTTATTTCTCTTTTCGCTCATGTTATTTAAGTCATGGCAATTATGCGTGAAAAATAATATTGCCTCAATGTCCACCAAGGCTTCGGCGGCACACCTTCACTCGATGGTCAAAATTTTTGATGTCTCTGCATAGTTGCTCCTTGATCTCACCAATATGCCTTATTATCTCATCTTTCAGCTGGTGAATTGTTGTTAGCTTGTTGACATAGATCTTAATTTTAAGATGACTTCAAAGGAAGAAAGCTAAAGGCGTCAAGTCGCGCGATCGTTGTGGCCAATTGACTTCGCTGTTTCTAAAGTTAATGCGACCTGGGAAATTGTCATTGGCATTCTATTTGAACGTCCATTTTCGTAATAGGCTTCGATAACTTTAACACGTTGGTTGTTAATCTTTCCATGGTTAAAATTGCCAAAGACTTAAGTTGTAAAATGTGAAAGAAAAAGAAAAAAAGCATTAGACGCTTAAAATTAATTCACATTTAAAATCGGTCCAAGTTATTGGAACACCGTTTATAACTTTTGTTTGTTACTTTCACGTTATCTTTCTTTAATAGTTTTTTATACTTTACTGCTGATCTTTTTTTTTTCTTCTTTTATTTTCTGGGTTTATTTATTTAATATTTCTGAGGATGTATTCTCTTCTTTTATTGCTTTTTTCTATTATATTTTTATTGGCATATTCATTTTTCCTTCATTCTTTGTCATAATTTTCTCTCAGTATTCTTTTCCCTTCTCTCGTTTTTCCGTTCTTTTAGTTTCTTTCTCTTCAATTTTGGACCTCCTCTTCTTCCTTCGCTCACATATTCGATCGTTTCTATTGCATGATATGCATTCCTATTCAATGTCTTCCTTCTTTACTCTATGCCCCGCCTTTGCTTTCGATGGCTTCGTCCATATTTCCTGTCAACACAATCTGAATCCGGAAGGAAAGGACAAGGAAAAGCGGAAGACGAGACCAGCAAATTTCAAGAATGCAAAGGACGTCCAATATGGAATTAAAGGACTAAAATCGTAGAATTAAGGAAGGCGAGGAACAAAAGAATTCTCCCTTCTTGCAAAGATTATGGGGGTAGTTGGGACGAAAAAGCAAAGGGCTTTCAACTCGGTCTGTTCTCTGTCAATTTGGTTATTGTGCTTTGGTGACATCATAGAAGCCAAGGTGGGCACTGATTCTTCTGAGTGGAATGCGTTCAAGAGATTGGGTTTAGAAATGATTACCTCTCCTTAGTGATTATGCCTTATCGTTTGGAGTGGATAGACAAGTCACAGAATTGAATAAAAAAAAAGCTGTGAATAAAATTGCCGGGCTTCTATAATTATTATCGTTCCATCTAGCTAAACCAATACAGATCACGACCTTGAGTCTGTCTAATGGCTACCCTTCTAACATTCCTTGATTATACTACTTGTTAATAAATACGCAGAAAGGTGTCAGTTTTTGTGAAGAAATCAAATTAGGATTGGCGAAAAAAGAAGTACTTCCAGAAGTTTAACACAACTATTTACATTTGAATCTTCATAAGCGGAGTGTTATAATTATAAAAAACACAAATAAAACCGAAAAAAATCGTCATTCTAAGAACGATATAATGTTTAAATAGTTTACTTACATTATTTGGACTATTGTCCTCGTCTCATATTTATTACAACGTTTCGGCCGTTGTACGCTCCGGCCTTCTTCAGTTGGTTGGAATGTCGAACCGAACCCTTTATTTCGCTCACTAGGGTTGAATTTTCTAGTTCCAAGTGCCATGTTTTTAATAGATGTCAGTTATCAGTTATCTCCTGTTAATTTCCCTCTGAAAGTTCTCCACCGTCTTAACCGGGTATTGAACTCACACTCTTTCGGTCCTGTCACTGGATCTTACCAACGCCTTTATCCCCTGTGTCATGTGTCCTTAAATAGTTTCTTTTTATTATTATTTGTATCAATGTGTGTTCACAAGTTTCACTCTTTTGTGTATACAGATTTTTGATACACGACATTATGTCTATGTTGAAAGCCTCTATGGAAACCTATAATGCTTTTGTATCTGCAGTATTAGTAATACAGTTTAAAATTCGACCTGCAAAGATCCGTGTTCTCTAGGTTTTACAAGTTTCAGAATAAAACATAAAATGGAATAAAATTTTGTATCGATGTCCTTCAGAATTAAACAAATTCAAAACTGAATAATCGATAATACTGCAAAATGTACGATTATTTTTTTTTTATCAAAGAATGGATAAGACATATCAGATATCGGAATTTATAAGAAATAATTAACTTCAAACCGGGCTTAAAATTTTAGAATTATTTTAAAATTGGTTGTTGATATTATATAGTTATTTTTTTATTAAATAATGTAAAGACAACAAGAGTTTGACATGATTTGATTCCTCAATACTTTTCTTAACAATTCGGATTTCACCTTTTTCTAAAGGGGTTACCGTAAAATCCCGTGTCTACTCTGAATCAGTTCTCATCATATCTCATCATTTCTCGTCATTTTTTCTCATATCTCGTCATATTTCGACGTTCATATGGATGCCCGGCATGGCGTTCAATTCATTTAGAAATATTCAAACTATCATTTGTAAGAAAGTATGATTAATGATTAAAGGTCAATAAATGGATTCATGCCATTGCCAAGGGAATTTCTTTGAAAATTCTGTAAATAGAACTTAACCTGAGAATATCATTTTTTCATTACGGAAAAAATTAGGCATTTATTAACCTAACAATTTTACTGTAGATTGTAATTCATAAAATCGTATTATTAATAGAGTTTTCAGGAAATATTATATCAGTTAAATATGCAATGCATTTTTGTTGCTGCTGTTGTAAGTGTTCAAGTAATATAATTTTTGTTATTTGATAAAACTCCTTGTTTGTGATTCTGTAGCGCAAGCTGCCGAGTCTAATGCGATATAGTCTTTTTTACAGGGCATAGTATTTATTCGTTTGAAGCCATTTTTAATCATTAATCATACTTGCTTACAGATGATCGTTTGAATCATGCCGGACATCAATATGAACGTCGAGATATGACGAGATATGACGAAACATTACGAGAAATGACGAGATATAACGAGAACTGATTCACAGCAGACACGGGATTTCTGCAGGATGATCATAAATCTCGTAATTAAAAAAAAAAACTTGTTGTCAGAAAATTCCGCTACATAAAACAGCTTCTAATCTCACCTTATTTAGGAGCGGAAATAATGTGTCTAAAGATAAAAAAAAAAAAAAATAGAAAGTTACTAACCCGAATTCTCCTCACTTTTCCTTTAGCGTGTTCGGATTAAACGTTATATATATATATATATAATAAATTGATTTATTTAAAATATGGTTTTTTCGCTACACAGTTCTAACCATGTTTCAAAAATGGAAGCTAACAGTTACGAATTTAATTTTGTAATTAAATTAAAGACATTAGTTCCATTTCATCCTCAAGCGAATTTTGGAGTAACTTTTAAAATTACTGGGTTTTAAAGACAGCTAAAATAATAATTCCCGTTTCCAAGGTTACAGATAAATCTCCTTCAACTGGACAAGGGGTGTCTGGGTGTTCATTATGTCTGTATTATTGTATCCGTTATTAGTTACGTTTTGGTAGGGGGTAGGGATGTATTTTTCAATGAAATCTGAAATCCGTTGAATACATGTCGTCTGGATTTTTTTTTAAATTTATTGTTAACGTCAAAAATTCTTACGGCATTTTTTTCTATTTGTATATTTAAAGATTTTTGGGGGTGTTTAGGTTAGAATACGTTTTATTTAACTACGATTTGGAAAATTTTCATTTTTAATTTTTATTATGCTATATTTTTTAAGAACAATTAAATGTATTAGAATCCCTTATAGTATGTAGAATTATTTTTACATCAAGTTTAAGTATGTATATTAGGTTACAATCTTTTTTTTTGTATTTAAATATTATTTAAGTAAAATTTAAGACAATGACGGCAAAAATAGTTACTTAATTTCACTGATTTAGTAAACTTTTATTTTTTATATAAACCTAGTAATATATTGTTTCTCATGTAAGTACAAAGGACATGGATCATTCAAAAGCTTACATCTTCTGGCATTTCATATTAATTTTATTTCACTGTAGGTGTTTTATTGGATTCTTTCAAGTGCGTGTAGTACTAAGTAAAAGAAGTTTAGGTTAGAATTAATTTTATTTAACTAGAATTTTAATTACAACTTTCAAATATTTTCATTGTTAGTTTTAATAGACTATATTACTTTATAATAGAAGGAAATACATTAGAATTACTCATAGCAAGTAAAAATATTTTTCCATATCAAGTATATGTATATTACGATTTTTAAACTTTTATATTTAAATATTATTTAAGTAATATTTATGGCACTTACTGAAAAATAGCTAATTCATTTCTTTGATTTAGTAAACTTTATTTATTTATTTTATTTTTTTATATATATAACTTAGTAATATATAGTTTCATATGTATGTACTAAGGACATGGGTCATTCAATGGCCTACATCATCTAGCTATTCGTTATATTTTCATTTTTCAGTAGGTGTTTTATTTGATTCATTTACGTGCCGGTAGTACTTTTTGAGAGGTGTTTAGGTTAGAACACATTTTCTTTAACTACAATTTTAAAAGATTTTTAGGTTAGAATATTAATGCTTTGTAAATTTACATTGAGTACTATTTGGTAAAAATAAAAATATCTATAAGAACACCGGATTATATATCTTACTGTTCTTTCTTTTTATTTATATATACATACATTGGCTCCTAATCAAAGTCGAGCACTCTAAATCTTTATTTTAACACGAAGAAAATACGGAGAATATAAATTTCAGAATTTCTCTGAAGAACATTCTTAATTCCAACAAGAAGGAATATTTCGTGATATTAATGAAAAAAACAGAGGAACTCATACGAAGGATGAGATGGAGAGCTTACTTCTTTCTTGATAAGAACGAATCACAAAACAAAAACTACAAGGAAACTTACGGTTTTAACAGTAAAAAAAGCAGAACCGTTTATTCATAGTTTGTCCGCATTCGAAAAGGACCAACTGGAAATAATTAACAACATAAATTTCCACGATAAGAAATGCTACTTCCAGAAACGCCTAGACTACCTAATAAATAAGGACTTGCATAAGAACTACAAGAAAGCGAATAAAAATGACCTCAACATAGTTCTGAATATCAATACTAGCAGTAAGGAAATCACTGATAAACTAAAGATCAGTGATAGAGTAGGTCAACTATATCAAAAGGAATGCTATATAGACTTAAAAGACCACAAACCGGATTTTGAGGCTAATCCCACTACAAGGATAATAAATCCTACAAGACCGGATATAGGTAAAATTAGTAAAAAGATCCTTGAAAGGGTAAATATACAAATTAAAGAAAAAATAAGCCTAAAACTTTGGATTAATACCAAGGAATTGATAAACTGGTTTACTAACATGAAAGGAAAAAACAATTGTACACTGATGCAGTTTGATATTGATAATTATTACCAAGCAATATCTAAAGAACTATTTATCAATACGTTGGACGTTGTCACCACTATACGGATATTACAAGTGAAGAAAAGAACATTATTCTGTATGCGAAAAATCGGTACTTATACATAAAGGTGAGCAATGGATTAAGAATTCTTATGGCCACTTTGACATCACTATAGGATCACTAGTCTCAGCTGAGTCTTCTGATCTCATTGGTCTTTTTATATTATACAACCTTACAGCGCACTATGATATTAACATAAATGACATTGGTTTGTACAGAGGACGATGGACTTATGGTTATTAGAAACTCAACTATCTTCAAAATAGATAGAATTAGAAAGGTATTATATAAAGAATTTAAAGGCATGGGCTTAAAAATTACGGTTAACACTGAATTAAAAAAGTGAACTTCCTAGATATAACATTAGATCTAAATAAAAATACATACACACCTTATGAAAAACCTAACACCAATCCTTTATATAGTCACCCTAAATCAAATCACCCCCCATCTATAA